AGTCCATACTCTGAACTAAGTTACTGAGTGACCTCGAGGCTAATTACCCACTCCATTTGGATAGAAGCCTTTAATACATGTTTATATGAGATCCTTGCCCCATAAAACCAGAACCTAGCCTTGTGCTCATACTTCAACTTCACCTTGAACTTCTAGAAAATCCAACCCCCCAGTGGGCCTTGAACAGTGGCCGCACCTGTCAAAATCTCTGCCCTCAGGCAGGTGGTTCCACCTTTTGTCTCTGCCTCCTTAACTGGGGGATGGGGAGCTGGACAAGTTACCCAGAGCACCTTAGGATGGCCGTTCTCTTGGTCATCCACAGAGGAGGGTAAGGCCTGCTGTTCTGTTTCATTCTTTCTGGTCAAGGCCTGGTTTCTCTCCCAGCACACGAAGGATTAGCTGGAAAGAAGTTGGAGGGAAAGCCACAGAGTGGCCCTTTCTTCCTGGATGTGTCCCAGGGTCAGGGCCCACAGAGGAAGTGACAGGACTCTCCCTGACACTGAGTGCTGCAGCTTCAGCCTGCTGAGCCTTGGCCGGGATCTGTCACCAGCAGGATAAAGTGTGGGCTCCCATCAGCGTGGGAGAGGAAAAGGGGGCAGGTGGAGCCAGGACTGGGGCAGGGAAGTCACACAAATAGCCCAAGCAGCTGAGATAACAAGAACCTATTGAGGAGAAGAGGCTGGTCAGAGGAAATGGGGCCGGCCAGCCCCATACGTGGAAAGGCTGGGGAGGGTCTGCCAAGTTCATAGGTGAAGCCTTTCTGAGCGGGGAGAGGGGGCAGGAACAAGAAGGCTAAATGGCTGGGAACCCTCAAAGCCAATGGAAATACAAACACATGGCAAGGACCGTGCAGAGAAATAAATAATCTCACCCCGTGGAGGCAGGTCCTGAGCCTGTGTCAGCAACAGCAGGGAGAGAACAGAAGAGCAGGTGTGGGTGGGCAGGTCCAGGGGCAAAAGAAACAGGGCGTCAGAACAGGGGCTCAGATTTCCTCCGCGGCAAGGTCCTGCGAGATGAAGTCATGACATTCTAGGCGGATCGATTTAAAATCATCGTTGTGATTTATATTCTGTCTGGTGCTTTATGCTTTAGAGCCCATTTCATTTTATTTTTATAGTTGCTTAGGGAAATCAGCAGGGCGGTGTCTTCGACCTCATTTACTGATGAGGGAATGAGGTTCTAAATAAGGGACTCACCCAGGGCACCCAGCAGCCAGGGGCACTGCAGAGAAGTGTGTGTCACTGGCCGCCAGGGCACCTCCAGCACCTGCTCTACCCACCAATTTACCACCTTTAAAAAAGAGCACATTTTTCATATACTGAAGCAAATATATTCACACAGCCCACCTTCCCTTAGTGCCATAATGTCTTGCATAATTCAAACGTGTATACAATATTTACGAGTCACAGGAGAAAGGCTGCAAACCACTGTAGGAGGGATCACAAAAGAAAGGTGATTATAAGAAGGAGAAGGGTTTGGAAAATGTCTTGTGCAATTGAAAAACTACCGTTAAAATGAAAAGGTAGTTCTTTGCTCCCTTACCTACTTCCTTGAAGAGAGTCAACACATAATTGTGGAAATTATTTTAATTCTAACCCTAACCTTGTGGGGACTGTGCTGTCCTGGAATCACGGGGACACCTCGTTTGTTCTTCATTGAGGCTGAGGTCGCATTTGTGCACTCAATCTGGCTGCTTGGCTGCATTCTCATCAGGAAATGAGTGACGGATTTGGGGTGGTGGTCTCTGTCTCAATACAACCAAGGCAATGAGCTCTGGTGGCTTTCAGTGTGCAAAAGATAGCAGGGGCCACCCTCCAGCCAGGGAAGGGGAGAAAAGGGCAGGTTGCTGAGCCCTTTGGGTTTCAAGAAGAAGGCTGCCAACAGGAGGTGAAGGTCAATATTTGTGTCCAATGTGAGACCGAGCCCCCACAAAGCTCTTGACAGCAGGCACCAGGTGACATTTACCATGCAAAGATGACTCACACTACAAGGTCAAATACTGGTGGTTTCCAGAGCACAGACAATAAGGAACAAGGGGATTCAGAAGGGGCCGGGCATCAGAGGGGTCTGGGAAGTGTCCACAGAGGAAGGCTGGCCTGGACATGTTCCCTGAACAGGGTAGAGAAAGGCAGGAAGGAAACCCCGGGTAGATGAGGAGGCAGAAGGCTGGGTGTGTCCAGGAAACCCCGGGAAGGCCAGTCCTGCCGACAGCACTTAGTGCTGAGAGGGAGAGATGTGCAGCTACATAGAGCATTTGGAGCAAGTTGTGGGAAGCCCAGGGAGGTGGCATGACCCTCAAGGCCAGCACTGACTCAAGACAACTAAGCCTTCATTCAGCTCTGCCACCGCTGGCTGTGGGCTCACGGTCAAGCACAAGAGGTGAAGATCAACACAAAAGCTCTCATTGTGAGACAGGCCTTGCTTTTTCATGCATTAACTCACTCACTATTTAAAACAACCCTGTGAAGCTAGGACCCATTTCGTAGGTGAGAAAACTCAGGCATTCCAAGGATGCACAGCTCATCACGTGGAGAATCTGGGGCATAAACTTCTACACTCTAGCTCTAGGACCTTGGGTTCTTCTTGACCACTAACTACTCTGTGCTGCCTCTTCAAATCCCTCCAAGCCAGCTGCACTCTAATTTTAAACGCTGTTGTCCCCTCCTGAGAAAAAAAAGGACATGTGACCCTTTTCCCCAAAATGACAAGTCATGCCTCTTTCCTCCCGTAGTCTGGGCTCCCCCTAGATTCCTATGGACTCAGGAGGGAAAGTCACCTGGCTGAGCCCTGGGCTGAGCCTGCCTGGGGACAGGGAGTGAAGACATTTAGTGACAGTTGTTCCAGTCCCTGTAAGACTTTAGTTTCAACAATGTCTGCGTATAACAGGCCTGGCTGCTGTCCTCATCAAAACTGTGTGCCCCAACCAGACCTACCTGAGAAACCATAATAAAAAAGCTATTATTAATATGAACCAAGTAATAAAACAGCAATAGCAATAAAAATAATGACTGAGGAGCTTTCCAAGGGAGACAGGGGTCACAGAACACAGAATGGAAAATACTGTGGTCAGAAGGTGGCTTAGAGATCATCCATCCCAGCCTCCTTATATGACTGATGAAATTGGGCTCAAAGGGGCCATGTCCCTTGCCTGGGGTCATGCAGCTGATAGTACCAAGGCTCCGGGTCCGACCTGAACCCTATACTTCCTGAGTCTATTGACTTGAAGCCCTGCTGGAAAAGGCAGATTTCTTTTCCAGTTCGGCAGACTGACTCTTGCATTCCAGGATGCGTGCTGTATTCTCAGGGCACACGGGGTTACGGGGCTGAAGACTGGGGAAAGTCTAGAACGTTGGCTCCACACATGGAGAGGGTCTTCACACCTTCCTCACACCCATACTTCAGCCTTCTTCCTGCAAAAATGTTAAAACTTAACCTAACCTCGAATGCCAGACTACATGGTCTTCCTACCCACAGTCCAGAGCCGTTTCAAGTTCTTTTCTTTGTCCCTTGCAAGAGGGGCTTCTGCACCTGGGGTCCTGAGGTCTTTTCAGCTCTTGACCTCCAGGGACCCCAAACTTCAGAAGGATAGTTTTCAGTGCAGTTCATAAGGCTGAAGATCCATCGTCCCGTGTTAGGCACAGAGAGGGCCTCTCCACAAAGCCAAAGGCTGCCTTTTCTCTGAGCCCTTTCACAGTCATACCCAATCAAATGCCTGGTCTCTGCTCTAAGCAAAAGCAAAATAAACTGACTTGAAGATTCCCTCAGCAGCAGTCAAGACTTCCTGCTTTAGTTGGCCACAAAGTTCCAAGTTCAAGTGCCCCTTCTTGCTGAGTCCCATCCCTTGTCCCTGCCATCTGAGAGACCACCTGCCCCAGATGAGTATCTAGAAAGTCCTCAAACCCTGAGAAGCATAAAGAATGTATTGGAATCCAACCCCTCCTCTCCAGGTTCCCTCTGTTGGTCTCTCTTTGTACTCTGTGGCCCAGCTTTGCCTTCGGTACCCTTGCCTAGTATTCACTCTGCTTATTGGTTCATCCACGTCACTCTGAATACATTTGTTTAAGCTAAAATGGAAAACAAATAAAAGGAAATCACCAGAAAAGCATGTATAGACCAAAGTGTCTTTTTGCATCCATCTGAGCCACTTGCAAATATCTCAGGCAGGCAAGCGTGTGGAGGCAGCTGGCCTGGGACAAATGTGCCTATTCCAGTCCTGCCCTCCCACACACACATTCTTGTCCTCTGCTTCCTCCTTTTCTTTGTTGTCTTTTTGTCCTTATTTAGCAAGCTTTCCCCAACCATCAGTCCTGCATCCATGGATCTAGCCAACTGTGGATCAAAAATATATTTTTTTTAAAAAATGCATCTATACTGAACATGTACGGAATTTTGGGGAGGTGGGAGAGGGTACCAGGGATTGAACTCAGGGGATTGATCGCATCAGACAGCTGGCCACTGAGCTACATCCCCAGCCCCATTTTGTATTTTATTTAGAGACAGGGTCTCACTGAGTTGCTTAGCACCTTACTATTGCTGAGGCTTCCTGCTGGGATGACAGGCGTGCGCCAGCGCACCCAGCATTGGACAGAATTTTTTGTTTCATTATTTTCTAAACAGCACAGCCTAACAGTGACTCACATAGCATGTACACTGTATTCAGTATTATAAGTCATCTAGAGATGGTTTCAAGTATGGGGAAGATGTGTACAGATGCTGTGCAAATACAACAGTATATTCTCTGAGGGACTTGAGCATCCTAGAATTTTGGTATCCAAGAGGGTCCTGGAACCAGACCCCAGAGATACCAAAGGAGGACTGTATATTCAAACATCAGTCTTATATTCAAAAGAGATCAAAGACCCTGCACTGTCATTGGGTCTCCATTTCCTGTCTTGAAAATCTGTTCTGAGGATCTTCCTCAGCTTCTTGGTCATGAAGCTTCTTGCAGCGGTAGGGAACCCTCGGACACCCTTATCTACCCCATGCCTCCCCATCTCCCCAGCACTCCCTCCTCTGTCCAGATGCTGACCAGTTCTGACATAAAACATTCATCAGTACTATCTTGGATGACCTGGCTGCCAGGTAATATTACAGCCCATAATGCTTTGCTAAATTAATTAAATCACATTTTTTTTCAATGAACACAGAGTCTGCTGGCACTGCACAAAACACAACCTGCTTTGTCCCCATCTGCAGATGCCTGCTTCTCCTGCTGTGAGAGCAATCACTCCCTGAACCTGCAGTTCACACAGCCCTGCACCCTGACCCATCTGTGTCCTGTAATCCCCTCTTCCCGATTGCAGCAAAACATTGACTGAGCTTTATAGGGGGAAAAAAAAATCAAGTCATTTTCTTAACTGGGAACAAAGGAGAAGAACGTGCAGGGAGACAGGGAGCGGGAGTTATTTAGCAATATAGTTTGGAAGCACTTGGCACACTCATCTGCATGGCTCAACATTTCTCATGGAAAAAGGATATTCTGGCTGGAAGGAACTAGAAGAAAAGACGATTGCCTCAGGGTAAGGCCTCCCTGGGATCGCATCAGACAGCTGGGCCCCTTTTCCTGAAGATTCTTTAGGAAGCAGGCTTCAGTAATTTTCCTTTGGTCCTACGTCAGAGGCTTTCACAATTCTGGCTGCAGGAAATGGCTTTCTTAATGTCTAACTTTGATTGCTCTGACACTAGGTTCTGACCTGTCTGTGAGTTTTACATCATTCCATGGCTTTCACATTCTGGGTGAACGTTTTCATCAGCTGCATCTTGCAGTTCCGAGGAACTCTTCCCAAGGGGTCAGGCAAGTCCGGAAGAAGAGAGGGCTGGCCAGTCAGAGACAGCAGGGTGGGGACAGGGGCAGACGTCTGCTCAGCTAATGGGACCACCATACTCAGGGGTATGAAGGAAAGTAGTGGCCCCAGTGGGGTAACATCTTTAGGGCTCTTTAAAAGAAGCCATAATTTTGTAAGAAATCTCCACGCCTAAGTTCGGGGTTGAAGGCAGCCTGTGGACCTCTATGTTCCAACTCTTCTCACCAGACCACGAGCTCCACGTCTGGGTCCATGTCTAGTATGGCACCTGTTGCGTCATTCTCCCAGCAAGTGTGTACAAAAATCCATGAGCAGTGGAGTCTCTAGTTTTTGACAGATCCAGGGTAGGCCCCTGGACTTCTTGCCATTTCAGCTGACTATCGCCCAGGGGACACCCCTGAGTGTACATCCGTGGTCACAAAGCAATCACTCCCTGAACCTGAAGTTCACAAAGGTTACAATGAAGATCTTTGTCACTTTCGGCATCTGCACACAGAGAATTTTTTTTTTCTTTTCTTTTGGCTTCAACTTTCCCAAGGTACCCCTGAAGTCCAAGAATTGAGATACTGATTTCTGCTAAGGTGCATGTTCTAAACACACACGATCACCGTTAAAGTGATTGCTCCTAAGTGAACGTGGCCAACGACGGGGAAAACATTGGAAGAGTCCTCATCTTTTGAATTCACAGTTCAATGGACATTGTGTGGAGAAACCTGTGCAGTTAAAGAATAAATGCAGGGTGTTTTAGAAGCGTTAAAAACAACCACACAGTCACGGAGCTCAGAAAGACATAAATGATCAAACCAGGAACAGCTGGAAAAGTTGGGGAGGCAACCTGAGGTTGGCCAGCATCCCTGGGGGTCGATGGAGTGGTCCTTAGTCCTGAATAAGAGCCTGACCAATTGCTCTCTGACCTCACCAGGGTGGGTGGCCTCCAGGGAAATGGCCCTGTGTGGGGTTCACCTGCTAACAGGAGTTAGCCACTCCGAGGAAAGCAGCTCACCTCCCAGGTCTCCAGGGAACAGAGATCAAAGTGGATGCCTGAAAAGCTTCCCGGGGCTGTGGCCACAGCAAGGAGGAAAGCAGACTCAAAGGCAGGTGGGCTGCTGCAGACTCCAAGGCCCAGGATGGTGGATCTTGGGTTTGGGGCCAAAAACAGAAATCAGAGGGGCTGAGGAGGACGGGGAAGGGTCCAAGGGATGCCAGAGGCAGCAGCCCCTGTGACAGCAGAAGCTGTCCTGGGTTGCCCCTGAGCATCATTGTGGTGGAGACGGCGCTCAGGCCCCTGGGCTGGGTGTGATTCTCACTCTTATGGCCGAGGATGAGGGGGGTTGCTGTACTCTCAGGGCTGGAGCCACAGGGGTAAAATGACCAGAGGAAGGCACTGACTTACAGAAAGGCTCTCAAGTCAGAGGTGGATTCTGATTGGACACTTGCTGCTAACCAGCTTTAGGCCTGTGGGTCTTTTCCCACATCCACAAAAAAACGGGGCCTAAAGACAGTGGAATGAGTGGGACATGACTTCCCTGTTCATACGTGAACACACGACCTGAGGAACTCCACGTGGTGCACAGCCACCAGAAGGGGAAGTTAGACCCCATGTATGTACAACATGCCAAAATACACTCTGCTGTCATGCACACACACCCACAAAGAACACATTTAAAGTGAAAAAAAAAACAACCCAAACCCAAGAAGGCCCTACTTAGATTCGTCTTTCAACTCCCAGTTTTCAAATCTTCCCTGGCACCTTTTTCTGCCCCCCTTTGCTTATGATCAGCACCCCCACCCTCAAGACACCATTCACACCGCATAGCACGCACACACACACACACACACACACATACACACACACACACACACTCACACCATATACACTCACCTCCACATGTGTATGTACAGACGTGTACATACTACATACTACATACACCACACGCCACACACTTATACAAACCACAAACACATCACACACATCACAGACCATACATCCATAAGACACACTCCACACGCCACACGTGCTGCTCACACCCTCACCCCCGACACACAGCTCGCAAACCCCCAGATGATGGGGACAGGGTATGCACAAGGGAGCAGGCACAGACAGCAGGGACTGTGGGGACTGTGAAGAGGAGGGTGTGTCCCCTAGACTACAGGTGTTCCCCTGTGGAGACTTTAAATCTTATCTGCAGCTAAAGAGGCACCGAGGGTCAGAGGTGGAGTCTGCCTCACAATCTGCTCTAGACCTCTGCCCGCCTGCCAGACCCAGTTCCAAAAATGTCTCCTCCACTGCAAGGATCTCCTTGCTCTCCTCGAGGAATACCCAGAGCTCAGGAGAGATCAGGTGCACGAGGAGCTGATAAGGGCTGTGTGAGTACTGGCCCCTCTCAACAACCTGGAGACGGGCGCCACGTTCTACAGTTGAGAAAGCCCAGGAACTTCCCAAGCCTGCGGTCCGTGGCTTTGGGTCCTTCTTACCTCACTACACAGTCCCAGATATGTGTTTAGAGTACAGAAAGCCCCATCTGTGCTCGTTATTTTTGGGGAAAAGTGTTGGGTAGATAATAAAAGGCAGCGCAGGAGTGTGTCTAAAAGCTAGAGATCCAACTGCTCTGACAGGCAGGACACCCGTCTTTCCGTGGAGACGAATCCTCCCCCAGCTACCCTCCACCCTGCAAACGAGGGCCACGTCAGCCAGGTCTGGTCTCCCACAGGGTGGTGCTTCAGATACCAGGAGCCAGGAGAGAGCCATGGAAGTCCCTCTTCTTTCCACACTGCACCCCCCAGCTCCCTGGGTAGTCTGAGTACATCAGAGACCCAAACCCGAGCCTCACCTTCCGGCCTCCTCTGTCCAGGCCTCACTTTTAGGTCGGGGCCAACTCCCTCTCCTCTCACTTTCAGGTTTGAATCGTGGGAATGGAGGTGATCCCCGCCATCTTAGCATTTGGGTCATGGTGAAGTTCGAGGAGCTCAGAGTCAAGATCCACTGCCTTTTGGCACTGCCAGCAGAGGCACGAGCTTGTGGAAAATAGCAGAAAAGAATTTTAGGGAGAAGGGTTGGGGTCTAAGTCACACGGGAGGCATTGAGTCTAGACAGCGTTCATCAAAAGCCGCATCCTGGGGGCGGCAGGCCACAAAAAGACTTTTAAAGCAAAGGAGGGATGTATGGGGGCTGGCAGCAGGAAAGGATCAGGTCAAACAAGCAGGTGCATGAAGGGGAAGGGCAGAGCCAGAAATGCAAGAGCAGCAGCTGGGGCCAGGAGAGGAGAAGGCTGGCCTCGAGGCCTGGACAGGAGAGGTAGTGGTTCTGTTGGATGGAGAATCACTTACAGGGCTTTTGTGACACAGACACTCAGGTGGCCCCCGACGCACCGATTCAGACCATCTGGATGGGCAGCGGTGTGCTTTTTAAAACTCCCTTGGTAATTTAATGTGCAGCCCTAGTTGACAGCAGGCCGTTATAGAATGTCACATGGCGAGTACCCAAGGAGAGCTAGAGAACTCAGTGGATGAGACCGACTCCTGCCTTCACGCAACCTTAGAGCCTGGGAGAGGAGACAAGCATTAGACACAAAATAAACACACAATTCCACACTGTGGTTTGTTTGGGCTACAAAGGAAAAGAGTAGGGTGGGAGTTGTGTGTGTGTGTGTCCTATCAAACGGTGCATCTCTCCAAGAAAGTCAATGGTTACGGACACCACGGAATTCAGTTACATAAAATCAGCTACGCAAATCGTGACTAATGCTCCCGAATGTTGTGCACCAGTATAAACATTGCAAAATATCATCAAGATAAAGACATTTTTAAAAAATTAGATGCTGAGTGTTACCTCTGTTTGTTCTCTCTGGGTTTAAAACATATAGGGAAGAGAAGGTCTCTCTCAAAACAAGAAAGGGCATTTTGGTCCTAAACATAAGCATAAAGGGCAGGAGCAGAAACCAAAAAAAAGGATCCTGAAATTGTTTGGAGAGAGTCACCGAGAAAGAGGAAGGGAGGTGGCTACGGCAGCCCGGGGAAGAGGGGCTGGGAAGGAAGGAGGGGAGGGGAATCCAAACAGTTCCAGAGTTTTCTCACGCTGAGTGTCAGCTTCTTCGAGAAGTTTGCAGTAGCTAGAAGAAGAGGTCCTTATCACTTAGAGTCATCATTTAAACTGTACAATTTGGGGATTTGGAAAAAGTGTTTGGGGAAAGAAATCAGAGGGACAGAATGGGGACTAAACTAAAAATAGAACTATCATATGATCCAGCTATCCCACTCCTGGGTATATAGCCACAGGACATGAAATCAGCCTTCAAAAGCAACATTTGCATACTTGTGTTTATTGTGGCACTATTCACAACTGCTAATACAGGAATCAGCCTGGTACCTGCCAACAAAATAGATAGAGAAAATGTGGTATCTATGCACAGCGGAGCATTACACCGCCATAAGTAAGAATGAAATCATATCAACAAAGTGGAGGGCATCATGCTAAGCAAAATAAGCAGACACAGAAAGATAAGGACAAGTATTACATGTTTTCTCTCACATGTAAGGATGAAACTAACATAAAATAAAATGTCCAGAGAGTAGAAGAGGGGCTATTATGAACTATAAGAGGGCCAGGGGAAGGTCTAGGAGAGGACAGGATAAGGGAGGGTGGGCGTGGGCAAAGCAGGACAAATGCATGTATAAACATGTCACAGTGAAACCCACTGATTTAGACAACTAATAATAAAGAAAAAGGGATCTCAATGAGCCTCCTTAGCTGGTGCCATCACAGTAGAATTTACTTATTTAAAATATAAACTTATAAAAAAATCACCTGTTCAAGGTACTTCTCTCCTTTGAGCTGCAGTTTTCTCTTTCATAAAATGGAGATAACACCCCATGCTCCCTTGGGGATTTTGGGGAGGCTCCATTGCCCTCTCTCTGGGCACTGAGCCTGTGCTAAGCCTTCCCCAAATCTCCTTAGGAAAAGATGCTGTCACCAAGCAAGCAGCTCTCCTGGGCTAGGCATCATATTCCAAATGTTGTGTTATCAGTTTGCATCCTCCAACAAGCTGAATGCATTGAGCTAGGTATGATTATTATTATTATTATTACCACCAAGAATTGAACTCAGGGCACTTAACTACTGAGCCACATGCCCAGCCCTTTCTTATATCTTATTTTGAGTCAGAGTCTCACTGATTTGCCTAGGGTCTTACTAAGTTGCTGAGGCTGGCTTTGAACTCTAGATCCTCCTGCCTCAGCCTCCCAAGCCGCTGGGATTATAGGTGTGCACCATCATGCCTGGTGAGCTAGGTATTATTTTCTTCATCTTCAGAAGAGGAAAACTGAAGCTCTGGAATCTTTTCAAAAACCAAGAGCTGAGACTGTGGTGGAGCTGAAATCTTTTTTTGTAAACTCCTAGTTTGTCAGTTCCCACCCAAACATCGCTGAGAGAGAGAAGCAGGTAGAGGTGATGGGGGGATATGAAGGTGAGGGAGATGGGGAGAGAGAAGATGGAAGAGAAACAGAAAGAGGGACTGGGAGAGGGAGCGAGGCAGTGGGGAAGAGAAAGACAAAGGAGGGAGAGGCAGCTGCTGGAGGGCGGGCGGGCCCTGATCAGGTGATGGGAAGTCTCTACACCCACCTGCAGTGAAATGAGCCCCTGGTCTGCTGATGCCTCTTCTTTCCCAGCGCAGGGTGTTCCGCTTAGTTTCCTGAAACCACGGGCCCCCTGCAGCCCCTCCTTGTTCTTTTCCCAGCCTCTCCCAGGTCCCAAGGTTGGAGCAAAGCCTGCACTCCGGATGCCTCTGCTTTGCTCAGATAATAGCTGAATCGCCATCTAAGAGAACTGATGCCACTGACCTTTAACCCGTGTGGGTTACATGACATCCGAAAGGAGAAAATAGAGACTTCCTTTCCTGAACTGGGAATTCTCATGGCAGGGACTCCCAGGAGCTGCGTGGGCAGGTGGGCCTCTGTCACCAGCCACAGGAACAGGACCAACCCTGTGGCTTTTCTTCCAACAGGGGCTGATCAGAGTTGACCGAGACTCTCTAAGGCTCATTTTGAGAGAGTCTTCCCTTCCAGATCAGGAAGGAGCCTGGTGTTCCTACCTGGTTTGCTCTTTTGGAAGCTTTCGCTCAGCAGCCAGGTACTAGCTGCTCCCTGGATCTGCCTTTGTAAGCAAGAGGCGCCTTCTCCAGTCCTCAGTGGGGGGCATCGTGGGCATGGTTAGTCCTGCAGGGAGGAGTCCTTTATCCTTGACACCCTTAGATCTGACTATTGTTTCTAAATTCTTTACAGACACTGTCCTCCCATGGCCCACACCCAGGGAGGATCTATCACCATCCCCGACTTTTGTAAACCACAATCCAAGACAATCAGTCCCAAAATAGAGTCAGGCTACATTGCTGTTCCATTTCCCAGAAGATTCTCCGTGTGCAACATCCCACGTCCCGTTATTCTAGTGACTCTGGTCTCAGTTCGAATGTCACTTCCCCAGGAAGCCCCCTCCCCTCACCCTACGGAAGGTGATCCCCTTCATTCCCTTCCCCAGCTCTCCCCCTCATTTTTTTTTCCTTCGCAGGACCCACCCTGACTTGAGGACCAGCTACTCCTGTGACCCAGCCTGTGGTAACCATGAAGTCTGCACCAGGCTCTCAGTCTTGACTGTGACACAGGACTGCAGCCGCCTGACGTGTAGTGGACTTTCAGAAAAATGTAGCACGATAGACAAAGGAGCGCTGGGGGTGTCGACAGGGGTAGAGTGCTTGCCTCGCACGCAGGAGGCCCTGGGTTCAATCCCCCAACACACACCATAAAAAGGAGATGGCTGAAGGAATGACATGGGGGTGGGCATCAGTAGCCCGATTCCCCAAGGCCATCTTTCTCTCTCCCCAGCCATCTCCACGCCTCATGCCTCTCACCAAGGTTCTACTCCTTTTCTTTCTCCTCTTTGTTAAAGTGGAAAATATCAGGCCCTCGCAGCCTCACTCCTGGGTATAACTGTTTCCCGGCCACTTTCTGGCTGTGCGCTTTTCTTGAATTGTACAACTGTAAATTTGAGGATGGCAATAGGATTGTTTTCAAAACAATTAAACAAAATCCTCCATTTATTAAGCATTCAATTAATAAATCGCCCTGACGCAGATTAAGTATTGAGTTAATTGCTTTGCATTCTTCTCATTTTCTCTTCTCTCCTTTTCTTCCTTCCTTGGAACATCCTTCCCTGCCTTTGTCTCAGTCTTTCCTCCCCGTTCATAAAGCTTCTGCCAGAGTCATCAGTAGGCTTTAGGTACTGGACCTGGACTGAGTTAGGTAGGCACAGATGCCAGAGGAGGAAAAGCCACAGGGGTCTGCAGGGTGGGGACCACAATGAGACTCAGGGGAGGCTAAGGAGAGGGACTGGGTCCACGCAGCAGCTGGGATATTTGGGGTGAAGAACTGCAGTCCTTAAGATCTACCCGGCTTATTCTGGAAACGTCACTTTTCTTAGCCCAGATGTTCAGGTAGGTTTGGAAACATTGATCGCATCAGGTGTGGGTCGGAAGAAACTCTGGGAATGGAGAGACCTGTTCCCTCTCCCGTGAGCTCTGCCAGTAGCCCACAACAGACCCAGGAAAAGTCTGCTCACCTGCTGGGGCCTCATCTCACCCTCTGACAAGAGAAGGGAGACCAGACATCCTGAGGGAATTTTCCAGTTGACCTGCCGTGGCTAAACTAGACCTGCTTTCTGCAGCCATTTTCAGACAAGAAGGAGAGCAGAGGACAGGAGAGGCTTCGAGAAGCAGCATCTGCACAGTTTTTGTTTCATGCCCAGTGCCCTTCCTTGTCTCTGCGGATTCTGCGGGCCTAGGTGTGGGTCTGGCTGGCGGGGTCGGCAGTCTTGCGCTCGCTGGCATGGCTGTCTGGATGGTCTTCCTCTGGCTTTGCGGAGTCTTGCCTTTTCTCAAGAGGACGCTCTTGTCCGGCTGACAAAGCCTGAGGTTTCTCAAAGACGCCTAGAGATGGCTGGCCTCTCTTCTGTTATATCCATCTGAAGCCACGGCAACCTTCTCTGGGCCAAAACCACTGGCTAATTAATACATTTCACAGAGTGAATGGAGCGTTGGCAACACCCCCAGCTTGGGGCAGCTCCCAAAGCCACGGGCCTTGCCCAGTGTCCAGAAAGTCCTGCCTGGAAACGGCCAGTGCCAGCTTCCTCCGGGGCAGCATCTCACCCTTCTTGTTTGAACCCGGAAAGGTGGCATCTGCCGGAGCCCCATTCCACTCCCAGCTGTGCCTCCACTCCGTCACCTGCTGGCACTTGCAGGGAAGCACCGTTCCAGTCCTGGGGCATCTGGCCTGATTTTCCTCTTCCCCTTCTCTGGGCAGAAGGATGGATCGAATCTGGAAAATCTATTAAAGGAAGGGCTGGGCCGTCCTGCATTTCCTTCCATCAGGCCTGACTAGGTGACTTTGATGCAAGCCACTGAGAGGCTGAAAGCCATTTGGCTGTGGGACCATCTCTGTTTGGGGCACCATGTTTTTTGGGGCTGCTAACCATGGCCTTATAGGAAAAGATGAGGCG